TAAGGTACCCTTCCACGTGGGTAGTAATCGCCTCCTCCGGTGCTGGTATCACAACCTCTTTATTTTTCCAATGGCAGTCCTTTTTTACCAGGTCAAGAAGGTTTTTTGGTATCGAGTATATATATCTCGATACCGGCTCACATCGACCATCCATCGATGAGGGTTTCTCGACCTTAAAATCGAAATCAATAACACACCCCCTAGGAACAAGTTCTTCAAGGCGTGGCTCCACCGTTGTTTTTTTGCCGGCCGGCCGAGATGAGGAAGCAGCCTCTTTCTGCGGAACAGTTTTAGATATTTTTGCCATCTAAATTTTTGTGAACAAAGAAGAAGGGAGAGTAAGGTATTTCGTGTTTTGAGAAGAACATGTAAAGAAAATCCAAAACCTGGGAATAAAGAGCTTTGGGGAAGACGAAGAACTGTGAAGATTAAAATAAGAAGAGATTTGAAGGTAAAAGTTTGAAATGATGAAGAAGGGGCTATTTATAGATTTCACAGTGACGGTTCAAAATTGGTAGTGGCCGACCATCGACTGACACGCATTTAATGCCTTGATAACTGGACCGACGAGACATTTGTCACATACGTCACAATCGGGCTCGACGCAGACGTCAGTATGTATCTAGTCAGAGGTTGAAAAATTATATCGTTTCTCACCACCTTCTTTCCGAGAAACGAGTGGACTATCTGTATACAGTCAAAATCAAGTTTGCCATTCATGTAATTAGTCAAGATGGGAGCATGATGGACCGAGGGTCGACATTATAATTTCAAGCTGTGATGTAAAGTTGAGTTATCGAGCTCAAGATCCAGGGACCGATCAATACCGAGCTCGAGTCAATATCGAGATCGATACCCAGAGACCAATTAATATCAAACTCGAGTCCCAAAGACTGATCAAGCTCGAGACCCAGAGACCGACCAATACCGAGACCGACCAAGATCGAGATCGAGCCAAGAGACAAAGAGTCGTTGTAACTGCACTAGGGAAGAGAATCTCGGCGGAAATCAAGGAAAAGCTAATTAACTAATCTATCATGGGGATCCCCACTATATATTTTTAATTATATCCAAAGTAGGGTTCCTCTACTATATGAAGAGTGACTATCATTTGTGAAACGGACATTGAAATACATTGAGACACCCTCACATCCAGAGATTATTGAGATTTACATACATATAGCAAATATTATCCCTTTTTGGGCTTTGGACATTGATTCATATTGTTCATTTATCAACCATTCTTTACTCAAATTGGTTTGGTATTCATTCATTTTTACAGTCAATATTCGATATATTTTTACTTATCTTTTCAATTCGTATCAAGTTATACCAGGTATTCTTAGAACTACATATAAATTTAACTCCATCCGTTTTTCGGGTAAACACAAATCATAAATAAGACTTGTTTGGATCACATCCGAAAATATAAAGTGTTTGAACCTTCGGATATAAAAATGTATCGCTATCTACCACTTCTCAAGAGAATTATGTTCCGTATTTTGATTTTGCGGACCAAAGGCCATATAAACCACTATATTTAAAGAGCAAGACATGAACTAAAGAAATACTTCAAAATTATTTGATATATTTTGTTGAATCGAGGGGACATTTAAATTTTATTGAATCGGTTATTTAAATCAAATAAATAAATATTAATTTATTTAAAAGTTAAATTTATCGGGCTATTCTATTTATTTGGGTTATAAATAATGAGCTCACTATTGGATGTCATCTTATCCTAAAGGTCAAAACATGTGTCATGATGTGGAGCGCGGAGTCAAATGAAGGAGCCAATCCGATCATTTTGCATGCCAAATGACATGGTATCCAAGTAAAATTAGAAAGTCAATGAAAAAACTTCATGTTTACAATTACAAGTTTTGGTAATTAAACATGATATTATTACTGTTTCAATTTGATTGGTTAATGATTTAAGTTAACTAACCAAATCAAAACAAACGAGTATGAATAAATCATGTTAAACTAAGAATAATTGAGTAAAATTGATCGATGTGTAGAAAGGAAAAGAGAAAAGGAGTGGAGGTACTAGTATATTTCGTATCTTCCATGTAAATGGAATCTTTGTTCCTCTTTTGATATAAATTAAAGTATAAAATTATAAAGTTCCTTTTAATTGAATAGTTCCATTAAGAAATTATATTTAATAAATCTTGAATACAACGTAACGTACCATCCACAAAATCCCATACACTTATAATTTTTCCAAACGGAGAAAATGATTTGACTCCAAATCTACGGCTGTGATGCCTTCACACCGAACAAATCCGCCGTAGGATCAAGACCCGGCACGTTCTGACAACTCACGCCGCGAAACGGTTGTTGGAACACGTTTAGGGATGGGCCCCGAATGAAAGGAAGAAATTGAGAAACGTGGGACCCGATCACGTTCTGTGGTAGTGCCACGTAGGCTGCATGCACAAAGGTGACAGGCCCCTCCAAATTCCAGAACCAGACTCAATACGCACGTTCTCCTACAGGGATGTAATTTAGCATTGAATCATTGGCTGCTCTTTGTTTGGATTTATAATCACACAAATAATTATTTATTTTTTATTTATTTTTATTTCTTAATCTTTGGACAAAGGGATTATTATTTTTTAATACTAAAAATTTTCATAAGGGTACCATTCCATTTTTAAAAAAAATCTTTTATTATACATAAGGGAGAAAAAAATAGAGAAGGAATAACAAGGTGGAAAATTGAATTCTAGCTAACAACATGAAAGTACATGTAGCCAATCAATTGAACTGCTAAGATTTTGAGTGCAATATCCCATTTGTTAACATTATAATTAATCTTTAATAAATAATTTTTTTAAAATATTCCAACTTCCAACCAAACACTGAATTTCGAGGAAAATGTTTTTTTCAGAAACTAATTCATGTTACTGGAAATTTCCCATGATACGGTTTATAAAACTGAACAATTCAAGCATGTCTATCCCAAATATTGAAAAAATTCATTAGAGTTTTAACATTGAAATTAGTCGTGAGACAAAAGAAGTGAGATTATCATACTTCTAATCTTAGAATTTACTCCTAAGTAAAAGAACGGATTATTGTACTCAAATCGCTCTTTTGTTTACAAATCAAATTTCATGATAATACGTCAAAACTAAGGATGTTGATTGCTAAATAGGATGTGGTACCCAACATTTTGTCATCTATTAATGGTTTTTATGAAATTGCAAAAAAAGAAACTATCAACTCGGCAATGTTCGAGTCAAACATTTTTTGCTCCATCTTTTTCAAACAGAAAAGGTACTACCTTCTTCCGGTGTTTCATACAAGTTTACGGGAATTTTTTTTTTTCAAACACACACTCTCTCTCTATATATATATATTAAAAAAATTCACTAAATATATATAGATATTAATTATAAACTCAAAATTATTATGTATTAATTGAAGAATTTGTAGAAATTCATAAATTTTAAATTCTGAATTATCTTTGGCTTCCTCGATAGGTAAGATTGTGATGAGAGTCAGAATTATTTAATAGTATGTGCAAGTCTTGCAAAGAGATAATAAAATATATTGTTGACAAGATCTCTTGGTTGTTGGAAGCATGCATTATTGAATCAGCAAGAAATACAAAACAAAAACCATACTTCTCATTCATTTACCTTCTTTTAGATATATAATTATACAGGTCAGATTTTAATTTATTAGTAAGATATAGGTCGGATTCCTTGCTTTCTTAGGATTCTTTTGTCATCACATAATAAGACAATTTCAAGATATTAAATAATTGGAAAAGTTGCATGACCCTGTCCAACAAAATGAAAGCATTGGCTAATTGATTAGTAATATTATTAGCTCTTTTTATATTTGAAAAATCTTTTATACTCTTCTTGACATGGATATTAGATTATCACAGACGTGTCCTCCACATGCTGACCTTTGGGACTAAATAATAATCACAAAATTATCCATTAATGGATACAATAATCAGCTGGTGGTTTAATTATTGAGATGACATGTATACTATTATTGCTATTTTAAGAGTAAGTTACCAAAATTTATGTTGAATACTCAAACAAAAGAACATATATAACACTTATACGTTTAAACATAACAGAAAAATAATTTAGGTTTATCAGATGATTACCTCCCATATTAGAACTTGATTCTCTTTATCAAACTTATATTTTCATGTCTAATAATTTCAGGTATTTGTATTCATTAATCTGTAATAGATAATGGATATTCCCTTCGATATTCCAACTCTTAATGTAAGGAAAAACAAGTAATCTATATAATTAATGAAGCCAAGCCTATCCAAAAACTACCTTGGTCTCATTTTACTTCCTTAAATATTACTCCTCCGGTTTACAATAAGTAATTTTTTTGGTTGTTTTCATACAGATTAAGAAATTCACATTTTAACATTAATTAGTAATGAAATTGATCATATTAACATTTACTATTTCTTCACATAAACACTCATAACATATACTCCAACACTATTTACTCCAAGGGCAATGTAAGAAAAAAATAATTAATTCATTCTTAAAATCTGAAAAATACAGATATTTTGGACCATAAAAAAAATACCAAAAAATTATTAATTGTGGACCGGAGGGAGTAATGTGTATATACAAATGGGTCGTTCCACTAACACTGATCACTGTTTTATTTATAAGAATCTCTTTACCCTTCTTTAAGTGCAATTGTCTATTTTATTGTCTTTTATCTTCTATTACAATCATTTCTAATTCATCGAAGAGTTAAGTTAAATTGGTCTAATTCGATTGCTTGTGACCTAAATTTTAATTGATTAATTTAAAGCTAAATTTTAGGTTAAATATTATTTCTAATGATATGATTTATAACTATATAAATATATATGACTTGTTTTAAATTATAATTTTTTTCTTAAACTCATATCCAATTAAATTGTATCACATAAAATAAAACGGAAAGAGTATTATAAAAGGTTTCACATTCTCTCTCTTTCTCTACTTCTCCCTTATTTTCTTCTTTTCTGATCAAGACAAAAAAGAGAGGTCATTTTACCAATTGAATCAATCCACAATTCCATCCCCTTTGGAGAAAAAAAGGAAAAAGAAAAAAGAACTTGCCTATACCTTTTTAACTTCCACTGGACACCACCGTCTACTCTGTCTGTATGTCCTCTGTTTCTAATATTTCTAACTAACTTTTCATTCCAAAGTAGTATTTGAATTCTCAAATCATAATTGTTTGTACTATTCAAGAAGCACAATTTGTCACCAATCAGACAAAAGGTACTGTACCCTCCTTCCTCTCATCATATTCCTTTGGTTATGTTGGTTTTCAAGACTGTAGCCTTTCACTCTTTGTTACTGTTTTGAATTCTGTTGGATCTTTGTCTTTTTCTTACTTTTATGGGATTTTACGAGGTTGGTATTCATTTTTGGTTACCTTTTATGCCCTGTTTGGTTGTTCTTGAATTGTTTGTTGATTGTCAGTGTAAAGAGTCTAGATGGTTGAAATTCTGGTTATCTGAGAACAAGAATTGAAAATCTTTCTTTTTTCTCACATTTATGTGTTTTGTCGTTTTATTTGAAGATATTTTGGAAGAAAGTGACTTGTTTGGGAAGATTTTTTCAGTATGGAAGTTTTGTGCTGGTTAAATTGGATTTAGGCTTGTGTAGTTTGTCTTGCCCTTGTTGATTCAACCTAAAATTCCAGATTTCTTGTGCATTTTTGTGTGTGTTACTTTAGATATTTTAGATAAATGGAGTCCGAAAATGGGGTTCCAGTTGAAGAGGAAAAGATTGTTGTGGCTGAAAAGAATGTCAGTGTGAAGGAGAATGTGAGTGAAAAAACCAATGCAAATGAGGAGAAGGCTAATGTAACACCTAATGTCAAAACTGAATTGTCTGGGAATGTTCCAAAGAGCAAAACATCAAGTCAAAGAAAGCTTGCTAGTGATGAAACTACAAAGAACAATAAAATGGCTAAGGATCAGGCTAGTTTAAGAGGCACAGCTGCATTGACTCGTTCGAAAAAGGCAAGTATATCACAAAGTCTATCGTTCCCTGCAAGAGGTAATAGTTCCGATGTAATGAGGAAGAGCATTGATGTCTACCCCAAGAAATCAGATGCCAAGGAATTGAAAACAAAGGGGTTTAAAAATGAGACTTCACTTTCTAAGGGATCATCAGCTTCTAGTTTGAATCCGAAGGGTATATCAGCTGGAGTATTGAAGAACGCAAACGCAAATGGAGGTGTTGCAACCAGCAGAAGGACAACTATTGCAGCCGTTCCCAGTCTCCGTCAGTCTATGGTATTGACCCTTATAATATTTTGCCTTTGACTTGTTTAATGGATGCTTTATCTCACTATGTCTCTAACCTGTTTTTGTCTATTAGTCCGGGAAATCTCTTCCGGCCGGTGGAAGTGCAAAGAAAGCTACATCTGAAGTGTAAGTGAATTTGTTGCTTGCATTTTTATGAAGTTTTTTTGGTCTACACTTGTTGCCTTTAGAATCGAAGTTTTTACTTTATATTATGTTTCATTTTGCCGAAGAACTTTTCTTTAGTTAAGTTATTTCTTCCTACTGCAGATCAAATGACGAAAACAAAAAACCTACTAAAGCTGCATTGCTGCCTCTTAAAGAGGATGAGGATGCTCGTTCTACCACTTCCTCGTACTGATTTTCTCTTTACACTGTTGTCATTCTGTTGTTCCATTGGTTTGTTCATCATCTTTAGTGTTCTAGGCCAATTAAATCTACTTTTATTTCTGCGGTTACCAGAAGTACCACTCCTCGTGGACAACGAAGGGCCAGTATTGCTGGATTTTCTTTCAGGTTGGAAGAACGTGCTGAAAAGCGGAAGGAGGTTTGTAGTTCGCACTTGTTTCTTCTTTACCAATGAGGGAATGTGATTTTTTATGCAAAGCTCAAGTGCAAAGTTTCTTTCTTTGTTAGTTCTTGGCAAAGATAGAAGAGAAGATACAGGCAAAGGAAGAGGAAAAGAATAACATGCAAGCAAAATCCAAGGTTGGTTCAAAATATATTACTGTACTTTTTCTGGTTAACTATTTAAGATCTAGTCTCTCCCAAGCCTTTTAAAAAAAAATTGAAGTTGGGTTTTGAATGTAGGAAAACCAAGAGGCGGAGATAAAGCAACTGAGGAAGAGCTTGACATTTAAAGCTACACCAATGCCAAGCTTTTACAAGGAACCCCCTCCAAAAGTTGAGCTAAGGAAGGTAAAGTGTTGATCTTAATTCGAAAAGAGAACAGGGGTGTTCTTTGTTGACACACTGGTTCCTAACTTTCAGAAAACACATTAATGTGTTAGTTTTGACATCCTCTAACCTGAAAAACCTTCATCTTCAGCATGTCTTGACATGTTAAAGTTTTTCTTAACTTCAGAAATTAACAAGATGTAATTGCTAGTAGAGCGGTTTTAACTTTCGAAATCCTTTCAAGATAGTAGTTCATATTGATGGCGTAGACATTTGCCATCTTGGGGATCCACCCCACTTCGCCCGACAGGATGCCCTCACACTGATGGCATAGGCATTGGCCATCCTGGGGATCCACCCGTTGCAGTAAAGGCGCATGGATAGGATGCGTAACTGCTGAATTGTACTAGGATTTCTACATGTTCAAGTTCCCAGTTACTTGTCTCAGTTGCTTTGTTATTTTTTCCATTGATTTTGATGCTGAGTTCCAGCTTTTCCTATATTTTTATGCATCTACATTATCTTAGTGGATGCTTGAGGAAAAAATGATCTCATGTTCATGAATGGGAACTTGAGAGAGCAGGGATACGTAATAGCGACCCCCCGCCCCCTTAAGAAAATAAATGTGCTGCCAACTAATGTGATAAGTATCATCAGTACGCTTTATTGATAGAAATTCTTGAGTTCAATGAGCAGAGCTAAAAAGATGCTGATTTCATGACTGCAATTTTTATGCAGTGTTTATGATGAAATTACAAGACTTGGAAAACACTTTACTGGCATGGCACTGCCTGAAATTCTGTTAACTAAATGCTCTTCTCCTAAAATACTTATTTGTTTATGCTACAAGGATGAAAAAGGTGGCATATTCCTTTTTAAGTTCAAAGTTTGTAAACATGGTTGCTCGTTAGCATGAGATACTTGTACTTTTAGAGATAATGTTCAAAACTCGAATGTTGCGGATTGGGATTGTTTCTTGATATCAAAACCAAAATGGGGTCTATGCTGATGGATTTTTCTTTCCTTAAAAATGACAATTGTAGATAGTATTGGACTTTGATAGCCATAAATGAATAAGTAGTAATGCATTACTTGCAATACCTGAAAACTGTTGTATAAACCTTATTTATCTAATAAAGAAGCATATCAATTTTTCTTCAAATCTGACATAGTTTGAGGTATAATTGCGCTCGTTTATGTTTCCAGTCATAAAGATGGTTTTAAGAAGGTACTACTTAAGTATTTACAAAAGGCTAGTATACTTTTGATATGTCAGGTCGCTCTTTGATTGTGATACTTCATTTGAATGACCATTGCTGCTTCTCTTTCAAGGACATTCGAGAGATCCCGCTGGATGATAAGGGTTGTGTGTTCATCTAATGATATGGCGTGTTCCTTTTCCCTTTCCACATTTTACTAGTGCTTATCCTGCAATAGAATGCTTTAGTTACTAAGTATATGCCAACAGAGTTTTAAGGCTACCCCATATTAGCTTCCAGGTTACATTTTAAGATTTCATGACTCATCATGTTCTCTTCCTGTTAACTTGAATTTATAAAAGTAGCACACATGATAATTTTCTTGATCATACAGATACCAACAACACGTGCTGTATCTCCTAAGCTTGGAAGAAATAAGAACTCCACATCGACAACCAACAGCTCTGAAAGTGGAGGATCGTGTTTGAGTCCAAGAGTTGTCAAAGAACAGGTAAAGTCACCCACGGCCTTGCTGTCAACTAGTGATAATGTTACTGGTGTTTCAAAAGGGAAGCCTATTGAAACCAAGAAGCCGACGAAAAGTTCCTCAACTGCTAAAACTAAAGCGAAAGCTGTTGGAACAAAATCAAAAGCTGCTGAAGTCAAGAACTTGGAGGAGAATATTTGTGAAGAAAATGCACAAGACATGCATGTTAAACCAGCTGATGAAAAGTGCGAGATGAATCCAGCAGACGAAAATGCAGTTCAACCGTCAAACGCTGTTGTTATTACAGCTGAAGTCACTGTTGAAGGTTAACGCACTTTAAGGAGTTTCTAGTGTCCTGTATTCATATATAGGTTTTTCTTTTGGGGTCTCTGAAAATTTTATGCTTCATTGAGTTGTGAATGGCATTGTTGTATGTTGTGTTTATAAATTGTATATGTTGGTTCGAAAATGTTTGACATACTTATTTTGTTCTATCTTGTATCATGCTCAAATGATTCTGCCACGCTGAGTTACAAAATACGTTTCTCTTTAGAAACATAGCAATTTTTAAATTCTACCTTTGGTTTGACAAAATAACCGAATCTATCTCCTGTTTCCATGAAGTTACTGTGTATACCTTTGGTCACCAAAATTTGCACGAACTTTTTCATTTGCAAATAATTGTTTGCTAACTTCAACTTCAAATGTTGTCCATACTAACTATTTGCCTGGCTTAGCATGAAATGATTAATTTAGAGTTTAGAGATTGCTGTATTTGAGCAGGGCAGGCGAGGCGGTAAGGTAGATGGGGTTCAAAATTCAAGAAAATTATGGCAGTAAGGCAAGGGGATATTCGGCACCCAGAATATCCCCTGTTTATCTCTAATTAACAAACTAAGGTGTGATTCTTACCAAGAACTTGAAAACTCATCACAAAGCAGTGAAGCACTCCTAGTTTTATGGCTTTCTTTAGTAATTTAATTTTTCTCTTTAAAAACGTCATCTACCGAATCGTCAGTTCTGATTAAAATTTCTCCTCTCCCCATTTACCCTTTCACCTTTGTCTTCTTCTGCTACATCCAAATTAATAAGCTTAAGGCATAGTTCAAAGTCTCAAGGAATTGGTCAAAATTAACTAGCTGGATCATGAATTAGTTATCAATCAAACATCGATCAACCACACTTTAAATCAAATTGTCGTAATCAGCTAGAATTAACAACAATCAGCTTTTTTTGCTTTCTAGCTTCTTTCACCTGACCTCCTTTGGGATGAATAGCTAGAAATTGGACAAGGATGCTTACCGTTAGTGATCGAGGTACTAGGTTAGAGCAGATGGTGGCAAGAGTTCCATCCAGATGAATTAATCCAGTCAAAACATACAATTTGCATACAACTTTACATATAATTTTTGGGGTTTCAAACAACTTGTATACAAAAATTTTATTGTAGAATCCGATCAAAACATACAACTTGTATATAATTTGCACATATTTCTTTGTTATATAAAAATTCAATCAAAATATACAATTTACATACAACTTGCATACAATTATGTTATTATAGTATTGTGTATGTCGATTGTATGTATTTTATTTGTCGTGTATATGCCATTGTATGTTCATTGGATATATAAATAACATACAAAATGCATACAACTTATTTATACAATACTGTTCTCCTTTCTCTTCGAGTATCAATTTGAAGTTCAACCAAAAGTAACTTTAATTTTCACTAAATTTTCTCAAAATTGAGATATAAAATGCAAAGAATATTCCTAATTGTTCAAAACAATATCAAATTCAAATAATTAATAATTTTGCAAAACCTAATCTTCAAAGGAAAATGAGTTGATGAGGAAAATATTTTCCAAAACATTTAAGCTAACCAAACATGGAAATATTAGAAAATATTTTCCGAAAAATATTTTCCTTCATACCAAACACACCCTAAGTGGACGTTTGGACATAAGAATTGCAAAATTCTGGAAAAAAGTAAAAGAAAAAAAAAAGTGAAAATGGTATTTGAAAATTAGAGTTGTGTTTGGACATGAATACAATTTGGAGTTGTTTTTGAATTTTTGTAAGTGGTTTGAAATGAAAATTTTGAAAAATAACTTTTTTGGAGATTTTCAAATTTCTTAAAAATTCCGAAATTCAACTTCAAGTGAAATTGAAAATTTTATGGACAAACACTGATTCCAAAAAAAATAAAATTTATTTATGGCCAAACGGGCCCTAAATTGACATGGTTAAAGGGATGGGGGTTAGCTGAGAGACGTGGGGGATGGGAGAGGAGAGGGGTAGGCGTGGGTGGTACATTTATTCTACAATTAATAGCTATAATTAAGGGATAATCTTTTACTATGAATTTGTATACAAATTATAAATATTGTTATGATATATAATTAAATAGGAACCTCTTTAAAAGTGGTATTAAATTTATAATTAAACATATTTAGGTAAACATTCTAGGGATTTTTACCAAGCTATACACTATATGAAGCCTTTTACCCTCCCTACTCAAGTTTTAACTTAATTACATGGGCATATACAATTTACGAATTATATACATTTTAAGAATTAAATGAGATATCAATTACACCCGTTTTTCACGCTATACTGTATCTAACGTATATATCCCACTCCCCCCCCCCCCCCCCCC